ATCTATCAAGGATTAATCAAGTCAGGAATAACATTTCACAGCTGTTAGAGATACAGGATACTACATATATTGAGGCTAGACTAGTAGTAGTAAGGAAAACTTCACCTCAAGGATTGATCACAAGTTGACTGTACAGTAGAAAGGCTAGATTAATTACCAGACATGCCAGAAACTCACAGACAGACCTCCAAACAGAGGGCAGGCCTGCTACAAGGACTAGAAGCCAGTTTACAATACCAGAGAACACAGAGCAAGATCAGGAAACAGATACACACAGTGAGGTATTGGAAACACTGTCTCAGGACACTAAACAATCGGATTTGTATGAAATAAATTCACCTACAAACGTACCAGACACTAGAAGTAATACACAAGGATACAGACATTCAGACAATGATATTAGATCAGAAATTAATGATCAGAACGTCCCAGTACCAAAGAACACTACTGATCAACTCTGGAACTCGATTGAACTGTAGTTACCTGATATAATAGCTCAATCTTCACTGGATTTACAATTCCTGGAATGTCTCAAAGACAGATATCATGAGGATAACTTCTTCAATCAGATATTACAAGATCCGAAGCACTTCCAGAATTTTCATGTTGAAAATGGACTCATATTTTGCTAGGAGGGTGAGAGGTACATACTTTGCATACCTAGAATTCTAATACACAACAGAAACACTAGGGAAATTGTAATAGAGCATGCACATTCTATTTTGGCACACCTAGGACTGTAAAAGACACTTTTGTACCTTAGAGAACAAGTTTAGTGGAAGGATATAATCATAAACATTAATTCCTACTGTAATTTGTGTCATACATGCAAGATCAGCAAACCTAACAATCAGAAACCGTTTGGTTTACTACATCCACTCTCAGTACCTAATAGGCCTTGGGAAGGCATAGGAATGGACTTTGTTGGACCTTTTCCTGAATTGAAGAACTGTTTAGAACCTTTTGATATGATTTGTACAGTTATTTGTTTATTAACTAGCATAGTACACATTATTCCTACTAGGCAAACATACAGAGTAAGAGAAATTGTAGAGATAGTATTTGAAAACGTCTATAAACTGTATAGACTGTCTAATTACATTGTTAGCAATTGTGATTCCCTATTCACCAGTACGTTTTGGAGAAGATTATATGAACTTATAGGTATTAAATTGAAGCTATTGAGTGCATATCATTCACAGACCAATGGATCAACTGAGAGAATGAACAGAACAATTACTCAGATGCTCAGACAGTGTATTTCTCCTAAACAAAAAGATTGGATACATAAACTACTGATGATCAAGTACACTATCAATACAGTAAGGTCAGAAACTATAGGATATGTACTATTCTTTCTAAATTATGGCTGGATGCTAAGGAACTTAATATGGAACAACCCTAGGAAGGATGAATATCCTAGAGTAAGGACTTACACTCAGAAAGTAAAGGACACAATACTGTAGGCACACAATACAATCCTTCAGACAAGGGTAAAGCAAACTAGACATGCTAATAGACACAGACAACCCTCTTCCTTTGAATTAAACAATCTAGTGTATGTTTCTATAAAGAATATGAATCTACCAAGACAGCAAGCAAGGAAACTAGTACCAAAGTACATAGGACCTTACAGAATAATCTGGAATGCAGGAAACAAGGCATTTGAACTAGATTTACCTAGGGAAATGAGGAATTGTAACATACATCCAGTATTTCATTCATCACTACTCAGGATACATGTTCCAAACAATGATAGATTATTCCCTGGAAGGGAAGTAGGACAAGTTACTGGATTAAATGATGAGAACAAGGAATGGACAGTAGATTCAATTGAAACTCATGCAGGACAAGGGACTACTACTTTGTTCAAAGTACTATGTGTAAGGAAACTCACTGTTCCTCACAAGAGAATTCTAATTGCCCTTAGTTCACTCAACTACTGACTGGGATAACGTAGTACTCGAGTAAGGGGTCAGGGGAAAAGAATCCCCTTTACCCAGTGGTTGATACTGTCTTTTATAGGGGTATACACGTGTAGATACATGAGGAGAAAGTGTAACTAACTACAATGAGAATATATGTGCTTGTAGGTCCTACTACACAATGATCTAACACAATCAGCAATGTAGTAGTAATAAAATACGAACCAGTAAATCAAATCCTTACACTATGGAAGTCTAGAGATCACACATGGCTACCCTATAATAAAAATTGTACACCTTGAGGCATTAAAGGAATACTTAGACATACTTGG